AAAAAGATACACTTCTCAGAAATTAAGGAAAAACAAATAGAAAGAGTCAACAAATAGAAAAAATAGTACCAGAGTAATTAGTTAAACTAGAACAGCAGAAATAGGCTATTCCTAATTCCATCAATACAGATCATAAGGAGCTTGCCTCATGCTGCTTTAGCCCCCTGGTTAAAATGGAGAATCATATGCTTGTGGTGCATCTTATTGCAGGTGGCAGGTCCCAAAAGAATCAGAGTACCAACAGATCAGATTTCAGAACTCAGAAGACTGGATAGGGGGACAGTTACATCAAGTACTCTGCTCCTAGACTCTGGAGGTTCCAAGCCTGCCTCTGGGCTCCTTGCTTTGGAAGACATGGCTACTGACATAGCCCACCTATGTATCCACAGACCACTGTGAATTCTCTCACTCAATTCAACTGTTGAAGCAAGCCTACCAAACTGCTGAGGAAGGACACATGTATTAATCAACTTGGTCCTTATAAACATAAATCAAAACCAGGGATCATCAAACATTTAAACAAACCCTACATCATGGGGGGAAAATACAACCAAGATGAACAATTAGGCCATATGTTGGACCAGCCCATGTCTCGGTACTGGCAGATGTCCACAATCTACACATTGGATACTTGAACCATATTGGGCTCCTTGATATTCTTTTTCTGGAAAAAGAGCAAGCCATTAGGTGATGAAATAGAACAAAAAGATGTCTCAGTAAATAAAATCCCTGAGCCAATTGATCAATTAGAACAAAAGGATGAAATAACTGAGCCCCCAGAAGGGTTTTATGTAGGAAGCAACTGTCACATATAAAGATTCTGTTCCAATTACTGACAAAATCCTCAACTATTGGAAATCATGGACTTATGGTCCAGGACCAGAATAATGACTGACTGTTGAATTCTGAAAACCAGGACTTTGGATTGGCATATACATTCGATAGATGCTTTTATTTCAATTTTTTATTTGTGAGAAATGTATACATTAAATTTTGGTGTAAAATATGATCACTAATAATGTGCAATAAATATGTCTTTCAGGGAAAAAAGATAAACAATTAACAACTGACTTTGAAAGGAGGAGATAAATTAGGAAACAGAAGAGAACCTAAAATGTGAATTAGTGTTTTTAGGGATATTCAAATGAATAATACATCCATAAAAGAATAAGTTGCTATGATAAAGAAACAAGAAAAATTATTGAATATTAAAATAATTACTGAGGTAAAAAATTTAGGGGATTGACTGAATAACCATTTAGACCCTTTCTAAGGGCGAACCTGGTGATCTGGAAAATAACCTGTGGAAATACTCTGGAATATAGAGGAAGATAAAGGAGATAGAAAAGAAGAGATAAAATGTTAAGAAACATAAGGGATAGACTTAAGGGCCAAATATCTTTGTAATAAGAGTTCTAGGAACAGAGAAGAAAGATAATAGAAGAAAACTATGGTATATTTACACAATGGAATATTACTTGGCAATAAAAAAAGAAGAAAATGTTACCCTTTGCAACAGCATGGATAGACCTGGAGAACATTATGCTAAGTGAAATAAGCCAATCAGAGAAAGACAAATACCATATGATTTCACTCATATGTGGAATCCAATGAACAAACTGAACTAACAAGCAAACTAGATAGAGAGCAGGCTGACAGCTCTGGGGTGGAGGACGGGGGGGGGGGGGTAGAGGAATGGAGCAAAAAAAGGACTCATGGACACAGACAACAGCGTGGTGATTGCAGATGGAGTGGGGAGAGGGATAAGGGGGATAAATAGCAATGGAAAAAAAAACAATAAACTATTTTTTTTCCGTTTTTTAAATTTCTGTGCAATTACAGTTGCTCCCATTTCCCCCTCATTACTCTCCCCGGCCCTGCCCACCCCCACTTCCCACATTCAATCCTCCTCTGCCACCCCCCATTGTCTTTGTCCATGGGTCCTTTATACATGTTCCTTGATGACCTTTCCTGTTCTTTTCCCTGTTATCCTTCTCCCCTTTCCCCACTGGTTGTCAGTTTGTTCTTTATTTCTATGTCTCTGGCTCTGTTTTGCTCACTTGTTTGTTTTGTTGATTGGATTCCACTTATAGGTGAGCTCATATGGTATTTGTCTTTCACTGCCTGGCTTATTTCACTTAGCATAATGCTCTCTAGAAAAACAAACTATTAAAAAAAGAAAACCATTAAAGGAAAAAACATAAAGACAAGCAATTTCATATAATTAAGGCTCACTAAGAATTTCTGTGAAATATCAGAACATCAATAATAAAGTGAAAATCCCCCAAATTTTCAGAACCAAACAAACAAAAATCACCAAAACCTAAAACCAAAAGCACAAGCAACAAAAGAAAAATCAAAAGAGGCTATGTACAAAGAAATAAGAACACCAGGATATCTGGCTGAGAGTCTGATAGTACCAAAAGTATCTGGCAGTGAGTATATGAGAAAGGTTATACAAGGGCACTGAAATTCAGCCTGAGCAGAGACATCCGTATTTCTCTATTACTAGCTCCACCAGATTCCAAGGAGACAGCATCAAAAATGATACTTAATAGGGAGGGCAAAAGAAACAAATTATTTAACAAAGGACTTAAAGCTTTTAACATCCATGCATCCCATATGAAAAATTATTCTAGTATTCCAGCAAATGGAAAAAGAAAAAAATGTATGGGAAAAATAAAGATGAAATTTAAGAACAAGAGGATGGTAAAGTATAGAGGAAGCAAATAACATTTTAAAAAAAAATTGATAAAGATATTCTAAGATGTTTCACTGCAAACTGTAAGAATTTTGTGAAGACAAGGCAAAATTTATCAAGAGCCATGTTTCTTAAGTTGAAGCCCAGAAGGAAAGGCACAGGGGGACATGTATCATTTCTCTCTCCTTAAGAAATGGAGGTGCCAGGCTCAGTATACCCACGACAATCTCCTGAACTATTCAACCCTATCTGTGAGCCTCCACAAAGCAGTGAAAATTTTCACATTTTCTTGCTTTCTCATCCTTTGCAATGTTAAATAATGTAGTTCTACAAAACTTGGGAGTCTCTATTTATGCTATAAATATATCTACTAAAGATCACCCTAACAGAAGATAAATGATTTCTTAAATTTTCTCCATTTATTATATGTAAACACATGGAAACACATAAATAATGTTCATTTAAAGAACTATGTCACACAGGCAGCTCAGATAGTTAGAGGACTGTCCCAATACACCAAGGTTGTGTGTTCAATTCCCAGTTCAGGGCACATACAAAAATCAACCGGTGAATGCATAAATAAGTGGAACAACAAATCAATGTTTCGTTCTTTCTCTCTCTCTCCCCGCTTCCGCTCCCGACTCCTTTCTCTATAAAATCAATAAAAAAATTTTTTTTAAATAAAGAACTATGTAACCATTTCCATTCCTATTAACTCTATTTCAAGCTACCACCATTTATTACCTGGACTATTTCAATGCCTTATAATGGGTTTCACAGCTTCTACCCTGGTTCATTCTCGTCAATATTCTATGCAGCAGGCAGAGTGATAATCTAAAATAAAAAATCACATTGCCCCCATACTCAAAACCTTCCATAGACTTTCCATCATACTTAAAAGAAAATTTGCAGTTTTTATCAGAGTCATTAGGCCGTAAGTGATATGGACCCAATTACCACTAACTATTCCCTTTGCATACTTCACTAGAGTTACTCTGGCTGCTAAACTCATTTCTACCTCAGGACTTTTGCAGTGTTTTTATTGCCTAGAAAACTCTTTCTTGAGATATTCACAGGGCCTGTTCCCTCATCTTCTCAGAGGGGCCTTCCCCAACCTACTAATATAGATTGTTCTCTGCTGTTATTCTTTAACCTCTTACTCTCATTTAGTTTTCTTAAAAGCATTCAACACTTATATATTATATATCTTACTTACTCATTTGTCAATTGTCCTCACTAAAAATGTAAGCTCCTGGAAGGCAATGTCTTTGTCTCATCCATTACCACATCCTACTCCACACAATAATGCTTGGTATGCACTAGGTGTTTAATGATTATTTATTGAATGAATGCTAAATATCTACTAATACTTTAGCCAAATAAAACATAAGTAAGAAAACAGAGAATGAACACACGTTCTCTTTAATCAGAGACATGCATTTATAGATCTGGAAAACTTGCATAGTTCTTTTGAACCTGAGTTTAATTATTTGTCAGTATGTTATCCTTTGAAAGTGAGGTTGTTGTTTATAGCTAACTAAGTCTCACAAATTTGTAATGCTTTTGCTAAAATAAGACACTCTCAAATTGCTACAAGTCAAGCAGATCTATCCTAGATCTGCTTTTATTTCCCAGTAGTCAATGGTTATGCTGCATTGCTTCAGTGAATTTTCTCTGCATTGTCTCCAGTGGTTACAAACCATCATTTACCACACTATAGTCTTTAGATGCCTATTATCATTCGTTCTTCACTTCTGTTCAACTCAGCACAGTTACTATAATGCTGGTAGAGAAATGTATTAGCCCTACAGGATTGCAAGGTTGGAATGTGATAATTTTATGTTTAAGATGGCCACTCATATTGGTATAAGGGGGCTAGTTTCAAATTTCAAGATGAAATAAACATCTGGGTAAGCACCATTAGACCACAGGTCATGTCTGTCTGTTCACCAGCCATACCCAGCTCTGGGCACAGGGACTGGTTTATAGTGAATAATCATTAAGTGAGTGAATATTAATTAAACAATGAAAATACCTCAAAGTTGATGTAATACTACTAAAGAAATGTAATAGTAAGAAATAGATGTCAAAACCAGAAAAAAGGTTAGACATAAAAATAATGTAATCAAGAAGCTTAGAAGAATCTAAATCAATAAATGAGACAAATTCTGATGATATAATTAAAGAAGTAAAACTTCTACAAAGTTGGAAAATTCAGGACATGTTTCTGAATTGCTAGCAAATATACTTAAAACAAAAATCAAAATGAGCTTTCTAACAAAAGTTATCATTAACTTACAGAAGTTGAAATCTTCTTTGCAGTTTCTATGATTACTTGTTCTAGAGGTTTCCAGACCTGAAATACGTAGCGACCTAAATAGTAATAAGAATAGAAGCAAACATAACAAACTGTCTATAATCAAAATCAATACCCAAAAGGTGTTCTCCACAGTATTTATTAATTTATTTTATATATATTATTTTGATAACTACTTCAAAATTTACCAGTCATATTTTTTCAAATTTCTAATTTATTGATTTTATCATTATTATAGCTATTCAATTTATCAAGTTCTAGTTCATAATTATAAAGTCAACAAAAGGCCATTGTTACATTTTTATACAATGTTATAGGTCACAAAGACCATCTTATTGCTCTTTCCACAACAAACTGTAGATGAAGTCCTTTAACAGAAAGATACTCAGGAACCTAAAATGATTATTTGTATTGCTTTTCACTGTGGTAATCACTTTGAAAAATACAGAAAACAAATACTGTTTAGAATCTATACAACATACAAGTGATTTTAATGGAGTTAGTTCTAAAGTAAAAACACAATTACGTAGAAAATATTTACCAATATTTTATTACCAATGTTCATTAGCAATTTCTCACTTAAGATGACTAGTCTCCTAAAAATTTATTTTATTTTACTGCTTTTCTTTGTTAGGCATCCTAATAATAAAAATTCGAGTCCTGACAACTAAGAAGCAATAACAAAAGAGGGACTAAATTGTTTTGAGGGCATAGAATAAAATGTTATCTGACTAGTTTACTTTTTGTACCCTAATCAGAATGAGCAACTACTAATACTAATAATGTCTCTTTTTCCAAAGTCTTGGTAGAAAACCAGTCCTGACATGACACTCTGAACTTCAACTTCTAACCATAACCCTATTTGCAAATCAAGATTTCTACTGGGAAAAATCAGCTACATAGATATTTTAGAAAGAGTTACTTGTTTAAATATACTGCTATTCCTGTGCAAACACGTTATAGTGAAGAACAGGATGCTAGACATGAGATATGAAACATCTAATCTAATTAGGAGATAAAAAGCTCTTGAGATCAAGAAGAACATTCAATAAAGTAAAATTACATGAGACTAAAACCCTAACTCATCCAAATCTCTTAACATATAGATGTAAACTTCCATTTTATTCTACGTTAATATAAAATATAGCTTTTAAATCACCTCAAAAGTCCTTTAAAACCACACACCAATCAAGTAGACTCAACGAAAAAAAATTAGTTAATGGCTTCAGGAAGTGACACCTAGAGGTTTACTTTAACCATATGCCAGAACAGCTAGTACCAAAAAAGTTTAAGTGTACTTTCTCCTAAAGTCTGTCTTTCAGTTTTATTTGGCTCTGAAAGAGGTCTGCCTGTTATTTAATATTTCAGTTAATAATATGAATTTGGTAACAGTGTGGTATATACAGAAAAACCAATTCTCATTTTACAAAGACCCTGGCAAAAGTCCACCTTTCTCTAATTTCAAATAAAAATCTGACATCTGAATTTGAAATAACTATGCCCATTCTGCTATAATAATTAATACTAAAATTGTTTTATGGTTATGGGGCAAGTTTATTAGTAATAACATTCCTTGTTAGACATAATATTCTCAGGAAAACTCAATAATCGTTCACTATAGCTTATATAATGAGACAAAAGACCTTAATGGCCCAAAGACCAAGAGGATATGGACCAGTAACCCTCTTGATTTTAAGGTTCTTATTGTTCAGGTGCTTTAAACAATATCTGTCTGAAATTAAATACCACACAAAACAAAACAAAAAATCTTTTTTTGCTCATTTTTCTATTGGATCTTACTATACTCCATATAACCACAATGGAGTGTAGCTTCACCTAAAAAGAAGATTCAATCAACAAGATCAAATCCATGGAACTTAGAGACACAAATGCTAAAATAAAATTAAAAAATGTAAATATAAGATTAAATGTAAAATGTAAGAGGCAATTTAAAACTAAGTTGATGACTACACTGTAATTTGAAGAGATAGCAATTTTTCTTTAAATCTTTGTAACTATTCTTTCTAAAAATCCTAGGTCCTTCCTTGTTTTACTGTCTCGGTTTTAATAAACGTACTCTCAAAATAAAAATAAAAAATAAAAAAATAAAGGAAACCCACATCAATTACATCGTTTCATATTAAAGATTTTTTGTTTAATATATAGTATACTATGGCTCAGACAAAAAAATTGCCAGGAAGATCCACTAGTACTGGGGCTAATTTTCCTAACTTTTGTATCATTACTTTTCTTAACCACAAATTTTATCTAGATTTTGCTACACTGACAAATATTCAGTCAATATAAATGGTGGAGAGAATGGAAATGTACACTGTCTTAAAACCAAAAATCTCAGAATACTGAAAGACTGCTTATGAATCACTATAGGAGCAATTTGGAAATATTTCTTCCATAACATTTATTGATATGTATCTTTTATTTACCTTACCTGCAAATGCAAAAGCTGCAAAACCCAGTCCTACAGCTATCAAGCTTCTCGCCTATGGAAGAAAAAAATGATAGTTACTTACAGTGTTACACACTGGGTTTATAAAGTAAATCACTTTTAATAATGTGAATACTTATGTTAAATAGTTTTCTTCAAGCTCTACTGTGAATGGAACCTAAAAAAATCTGCAGTGTCTATGAGATTGTATCTGCTCTGCACTATATCAGTTAATTTTCAGTGAACTAAAATAATTCTAGATTTTCACTTAATTTTCATATATTTGAATTCATTCTAACCTAGAGCTTTTATATTACCTATTGCTCAAATGTTTTCTGTAGACTATTCTTAATAGTGGGTTTAATATTTTTGTTTTCTATAAATATAAAAGGTACATATTCCTCCTCCATTATACTTGTGATACTCAATGGCATTTGCTATGTGTAAAAATTTAGTATAACATTAGATGCGTATCTAGTATACGTGTCAAACTTCCAAAAACTATTAAAAATGATAAATAATCTCAAAGCTCTTCTATTTCTACCCTTCTAAAACAATGTAAAAATTTTAAAACAAGAATGAAGAATTCAGGATCTAAAGTTAAAAGCTAATTCTAGTAAAAATCTATTTTAAATTGGTATATACTCCATATTATTATATGCTTTTCAGTCTCAGCCCTCCATCTTACAACTTCTGCAATGATGTGAAATGAATCCATTCTGTCCCCTGGTGGGATTATTCTAGCTTAAAAAAAAAAATTCTGCTGGATCCTGTGGCCTTACTTCTCACACCATACTAATCATTTCAGGAAAGTATGTACATCAGAACAGAAAAGGTTTATGTAGCAGAGATCAATGCCCCCTAATACTCATTCTCCCCTTCTTCTTCTACAGGATCAAAAATTCCATTTTAGCCAGCCATGTATTTCCAAGTCTCCCTTAGACTTACGTATGGATACAGAATTAAGGAGAGACACCACAGAAATGTTTTTGTCTGATTAGTGGTACGGAAGGTAAATCCATGAAAGCCAGCAAAGGTTTTATAAAAGCTAGAATAATCTCACTAGGGAACAGAATGGATTAATTTCACATTGTTGCAGGAGTTCTAACATGAAGTGCTGAGACTGAATGAACTGCTAGAACCAAAAAGCCCTCCAGGTATCAGTCTTCAAGTTCCACAAAGGAACACAAGTCTATGCCCCAAATCGTCAAGGGAAGACTCTGTAAGGAGAAACATCAGATCACAAAGGACAAGTATGATGGTGCTCTAACTTTAATATCCAGTAAGGAGGTGAGTATTGACATACAGAAGATGTTCTGTTGAGGTATATCTTTGCCATTTTCTACAGATTCCCTGCTGCTAATATATTCTGAGTTCTCTAGTCTTATCTTCCATTGGTTCATGTTAAGGATCCTCAGTCTAACCATACTATTCAACTGTTTCATGGATGAATTTACTTTCCTTATAAACTTGTTTATTTTTTCATCTGACTAGAAGTATTTCTTTGCCTCTCAGATCTAACCAATTTTTAATTTTTCAGCTTGACTCTGCCACAGAATGGGAGGAGTCACCTGCAATATGTAACAATGAGCATATATCCAAAAGTACATGGAATTCCTCAACATCAATAATAAGATGACAGACAACCAATAAAAAAAAATGGGCAAAGACTAGGTCAGAGACCTTACAGAAAAAATCTAAATGGCTAATAAACATATGAAAACATGTTCACCTTCAAAAGTAACTAGGGATTACCAACAACAAAAACAAAATGGTATAGAATGATTCATATCAGGATAAAAGATCCCTGGCCTTTATGGAACTTATTCTGTCCATGAATGAATCTCAAGCACCAAGCAACAGCCTCTATACTTCCTAGGATTATTGTAAGGATAAAATATAATAATTATGTAAAAGACTTAGCACAGTGGCTTGGCACATGGTAAAAACAACTAGTCATTAATAAGTGGCATAACAAAAGTAAGAATAATGTTTACAACAGAAAGAAAAAAAGAACTACTAAACTTCAAGACAGCATGGATGGAACTCAAGAGCATTATGCTAAATAAAATAAGCCAGGGGGGAAAGACAAATACTATATGATCTCACCTATAAGTGGAACCTAACCAACAATACAAAGATGCAAGGAAAATAAGACCAGCAGCACTGAAAGGAAAAGAAATCAACAGAGACAAGAGGGAAGGGGGGGCGGGGAGGGAAGGGGAAAGTCAAGGAACATATAGCAAGGACTCATGAACCAAAGAAGAGCTGAGGGAGGGAAGGAGGGAGGGGGCAAGGGAAAGTGGTGGCGGGTAGGCAGAGACAAATGTATTTGAAAAAATAAATTAATTAATTAAAAAAAGAATAATGTTTACATTTAAATTTGTCTAAGGAAATTCATAAAGGTGGTTCTTGATGTAGGCCCTAGAAAATGAATTGTCTTCTCTAGATTAAATAATCCAAATTTCCACATGAAAAATGCATATTTAAAAAAATACAGTCTTAAAATGTTGAGTTATCCTAATTTCACATTTTTATAGATTAATAATTATTGCATCATTTTTCCTATTTCAACTATTCAAAATATATGAGACACATAGTTGGCTCTACAATTACAAAGGAATTTTTATTTTAAGGTATTTGTATCAGAAACATTAAATTATGAGGCATTTGCTCACTTTTAATCTAATAATATGTAAGGCTAAATTGTGTTTATCAATAAAAATTCAATTTAAATCAACAAATAAGAATGGAACACTGCTGGTTATTTTCCCTTTGTCCCTCTGGACACATTCTCCACCCTTCTTTGCCTTGTTCTGTACCTCTGCCTCCCCTGGTCTCTAAGGATTACATTACCTAGTCCTCATCTGCCCTCTAGTTTCTGGTTGGGTTTTGCCAATCAGAAGTAGTATGGAACAAAACATCGTACTCAGGTTACCAATCCCAGGGGAGGACTCCAAACATTCTGCCCATTGCATCTTGGTGTCAAAGTTGCGAAAGAAACACAACGTAGTTCGGTACTAGATAGAACAATGCTTTGATCACAGAGAAGAGACAAAGTAAGATCAGCTCCAATTGTGCGCCTGGGTTCCTTACAGCTAGTGGGTGCCCGCAGCAGTGGTCAAAAGGAAACAGGCCCAGGAGCATGCTCTAGTGCTGCAGCAGACCCTACCCACCTCCTCTCTACCCAACTCCACCCCACCCCTGGCGTCTGAAATACTGAAAGCTGGGTGTATGCTTGAGAGCCACTGACTACCCTTAAGCAGAACAAAGCCTACTCACAGGGCCTGAAACAGAGGATGACAGTCTCACAAAGGTGACCAGCAGTCAGTGTGGCGCCCCATCTCTCAGTAAGGAAGCTGGAAGGGAAAGTGGGCAGAGCAGGGACAAAAGTCTGTGCACATGACATTGCCTTTCCCAAAAGGAAGCATCAGCAGGAAAGTAAAAGGTGGAAGGAGAAAGAAATAATGGTACAATTTGTTCCCAGCTATGTTTCCTTTTTGGCCACATCTCCTGTTTATGTGGCTCTTCTTCCATGCCTACAACTCTTGAGTTCTGGAACAAAATTCCTATTCCTTTCCTTGCCCCTCTGCCTGGGTGGGTAACAGTTTCCAATTGTGGCTGGTCCCTGACAGATTCATCCTCCTTTTTGGTTACCTAGGCCCACACCTCGGTAAATAGTCCCCTCGTTAAACTATCTTCAAAAAAGCCATCCATCTATTACCACTGGCCATCACTGATACAAGCATCACACTTTATACTGGTTACTACACTATGTGACTTTTGTACACTATATTATGTACAAGAGATATAGCAGCATGGATCAAGGCAAAGGCTAACATCAAAAGAATCCTGTGTAGGACCTTAAACATAGTAGGCCTCCAACATATATGCTAATCTCCCAAAGATCTTTACTTTTTTTAATCCTTACTATCACATGTATTGCAGTACATTATATAAGAGAGCCCCCCCCCAAAAAAACCCACTAAAATTTATTTATAAAAAATTGTGTAGTTATTCTTACATGTTTAAACTTTAGTCACCTTTAAAGTACTCTCCATTTCATACAATACATCTATCAAGATGTTTCCATTGCTCAAAACGGTTTTTGAGCTCGTCTACTTCACAAAATGTTTTCCTTTAAGGACTTCTTTTCTCCAGGGAAACAAAACAAAAAGTCGCTCTTGGGGAAGATGGGATGAATGGGGATAGGGAGCAGGGGGATCATGCCGTTTTGGTCAAAAACTGCTGAACGCTCAGTGTGGTGAGTGTGGGCAGGTACACTCCTAAATCACCCCTTGTGAAATGGACAAACACAGTGAAAGAATCTTCAAAAAAAATTCACTGAAGCTGAAGGCAGTTTCTCACAACAATGCCAGCTGGTACATGGGTTCCTAGAACACTCACCTAACAGGGGGAGCCTGTACTACAAGGGGCCCGCCTTCCACAAGACTATTCCTGTTTTTTGGGGGGTTTCCCTCATAGTTCAGTGCTCTGTCTCCCTTAGCTTTTCTAGATATCAAGAGCCTTTTAAAAATATGATGAAATCTATAGACGATCACCACAGAACACCACAAGTATATATATGTATATATGTACACACACACACACACACACACACACACACACACACACACACACTCCCTAAAGTCCTTCAGTTGACAAGCCCCAGCATAAGAAACACTAAAATAAATAAGTAAGCAAGCCGGCAAGCTCACTGAAGTCTAGGAGGGTATCTCATACACCTTTGAGCTCCTAGAGCAAGACCTGCTGCATATATTCATTTTCAATTCATTCAAAAATACAAGAAAAATTATGTGGATTCCAGAACTAACCTCTATTTCTAAAGACTAACTTCATAGAAACATAAATACAGAAGGCCTTGCCACCTTTAAAAACAACAAAAAGAAAGCCAAGTTAGGTGGATCACTAGAGCAAAACAGGATGTTCAATAAATGACTAAAAACTATGCAATCAAAATCTTACTTATCTGCACTGAGAAGACAAAGTATAGCAAAGCTAATCAAAAACCCACTTCCTTATTGGAATTAAAAT